CTCAAGGCTGCAGATGTCAGGTGGTCTTGGGGCCAAACCTGCTGCAATCTCTGTGTCTGGATAGATATGGAAGACTCTAGAAGTTTAAAGGCCAAACTCTGCACCTTACCTATTACTGTTCTCAACATCAACTAAAATGTAAAAACTTTGCATGTCTCTATATGCAGCCGTGTGCCCTTTCTTAACACTGACTGCAGTGACAATGTGCTGGAAAGCTCCATAAGTAAAGTATTGTGCTAACAATGCATGGGTTGTGGGTTCACATCCCAGGGAGTACATGTAAAATTATATCCCATTACTGTAAACCACTTTAGATAAAAACATCTTTATTACATGAAATAATTAATATAATACGGGGCTCTATTTGTTATGAAGCAGGGATAGGGAACTATATTTCCCAACATGCAATGTGCCTATATCCTGGCTAGCGTTACATGCATCTAGTACTCATTAGGGTTTGTGCCCACACACACCCGCTCGCACACACACATACACACACACATACACACACACACCTACTTATCTGGTCCTGTGTCTGGTTGTGAGATTGTTAGTTTATAATACCTTTGCACAGTCAGTGTATATTCTGGCATTTGTGTTTGCTGTTCTGGTTTACGGATTTTGATTTTGCCTGTCGATTTGGATTGTTTGCCACGCCTTGTATGTACTGAAATATTGCTAGATTCTGATTATGGTTTTTGTCTTGGCCCTCTTGTTTCGCCCTAAGCGGGATCGTGACGAGGGAAAGGCTCCTGCCCCTTGGTGTAATGATCTGTTCTCTGCATCTCCAGTGTGTCGTCCTCCCTGTTCTACACATGACACTACTAATGTTTTACCTCCTAATTTTTCTCTACTTACATCATGTATGTCCTCTTTTCTTGGAATGCCTATGTCAGCTATGAGGTGCATGTGAGTGGAATGGACTCTGTCGTTGTTATATTTTCAGGTTACATGCATGGTTAAAGTGCCCATTTCCTGCATCCCTAGGGAAATGGAAGAGTTTTTGTACGAGAAGCTTCTGATGTCAGACTGAGGCTGCCTGGCACAGATGTTACTTGCAGTAAAATGCTTAAATATTGTGTTTGTCTATCACCAAAGATGGATTATCCACTGTTATTTTGTATTTAAAAAATATGAGAAGTATTGTATTTAGAGCACTGATCATCAACTGGCGGCCCGCAGGCCGAATCCGGCCCGCTGAGCCGTTCAATCCGGCCTGCGACTGGATTCCAAAATTGTCAGGATCAAAAAGAAAATAGTGGTCCACTCTATTAAAGCAACTAAAAATAACAACAACTGAGTCTCTTCACTCTCTTGTCAGAATAACCACCATTTATGACTATATGCCTTCAGTTTTGTAATGAAATGGAAAAAGTATAAACATTAAACATAATGTTAAGCCAAAATTAGATTTTTATTTGATTTTCTTCTTGGGGGTCCGGCCCCCAAGGAGACTGTCTGGTAAAACTCTGGCCCTCTGACAAATATAGTTGATGACCCCTGATTTGGAGGCTTTAAAAGCTATTGCGCATTTTATGCTTTCAGCTACAGTTTGGCAGCCTTACCATCATGGATGTCTTGCCTGTATATGATAGTATGGTTCTTGCTTATTAGAGAGCAAGCTGAGCTATGGCAGCTGATCTGGGACAAAAGGCAGGTTGACGTCAGCAGTTTCTGAACTTCTTAGTTGTTACTTTCGGCCGAGTTTCATTTTGTGCCGGTTCAGACTCTAGAATGTATCATTAACAAAGTTCCCTTGGAATAACTGACCAATCATCTGTTAACTTCACATTCCTTGAGTCACATGGTGAGCGGTCAGCGTGCCCTTCTGGGCCGGGTTTTGGTGGGTGTGCTGAATTGATGGTTTCCTGGCACGTTAATCTGCCAGAGGACATTTCCCCAGACTAAACGGGCAGCACACCCTGGCATTCAGGCTGCAGGGAGGCACCTGCCCACGTTTTCTTGCTTCACTAATGCGATTATTTCCAGGGATTATGTCATTTTGAAATGTGGACAGTGGTGCAAATCCTGGCATTTTCTTATGTGTTACTGATAAATCCTTTTAAATTCCAAGTCACTCATCATCATTACTTCCAAATTACTCCCTCTGAAATGACATAAAACACCAAGAATTTTCTTTACGCCGCTCTTTCCATGACCCTGTGCTGGATACGCTGTTGCATTCATAACACATTTTGTTTTTGTGGCATTATTGTGTGGCTTTTTTTTTTTTTTACTTAAGTAAGGCTCCAATCAATGCTAAAGATGTGCCTCAATACAGCATCTCCATGTGAGTTTAATAGAAGCAGTATTAGAAGTAATAACTGCAGGATTTCTTAATACTGGTGTATACCATAACACCACCATACCAACCAAGCCCAGCTGCCAGACCCCTGACACCTTGCAGACTTTCCCACATCTGCCTTCCTCAGCGTCTTCATCCTCAGTGATGCATGTGTCATCTAGCAGCAGACTCTAATATAAAGACAGCCTCATAAAGTAAAACTGGAAGATGATGGGTAGTGGGAAAGATGGCATGCAGATGCATCTGATGCATTCTATAGTAATAGTGAGGCCATGAGGCACAAGTGATGTCATTGGATTTGATGATGCAATCAGATCCCTAATGACATCATAAGATTATGTATTACAACAGGTATTACAGGGGTAGACATGGTTCAACACAGCACTAAAAGGAGCTCCATAAACTCTGTAAAGAATGAACCTTGCTACTCAATTTCTATGTTTTTCACCAGATAATTGCACATAGCACCTTCCAGATTTATAGCCAGGATACATTGTATTGTTACTGATACACCACAGCTGCACTGGAAAGTGTAAAATTTCAAGAATTTCTACAAAAGTACACTTCACTCCAATATCCAAAACCAATAAGGGCTTGTTTGCAGATGATTAGGTCTGCATTACCAGTTAGATTACCAGCAATGTTTCGCAAGACTTTAAAAATGTAGTTAAAAAAGACTTTATGCATTAATTTTCTGTAATTGCATGTCCTATTCGGGGTCATGGGGGAGAGAGGGGTGTCAGAGCCTATAGACACAAGGTAAGGAACAACCCATCAGGGAACAACCCATCACAGGGCACACTCACACCTATCAGCAATTTGGCAATTCCAGTTAATGTCAGCTTGTGTTTGGACTGTGGGGGGGGGAATGTGCAAACTCCACACGCATGCAACCTTGGCGGACACTCAAACACTGGTCCCTGAGGTGTGAGGCAACAGTGCAAACAACTGCACCATCATATCATCCCTGTGGATAAATATATAGGTTTTATTTTTTCCAATATATACAAATCATTCTATGCCCATACATATTGTAAATATTTTGAAAAATGGCAGCATATGGTGGTGCAATGAGTGACTTTGCAGTCTTGCGCCTCCAGGCTTGTAGGTTCGACCCCCCCCCCTTGTTCTCCCTGTATTCCTGGCATCTTCCCCTTGTGTTTGCATAAGTTTTCTCAGGGATTTCGGGCTGAAAACAGTATGAAAACATACAGTTTGCTGAGCTGGAACCTGTAAATCACCTACAGAGTTTGAGTGTGTGTCCCTGTAATAGACTGGTGTAGCTGCTGGGGTTCACCTTGCCTTGTGATTCCTGGGACAGACCAAGGCTCTGTGTCACCCTGTACTGGAGAAGTGCTTATAGAAACTGGGTGGGTGTAGCATGTTTATGTAATCAACATACACAAGGGCCCATCGCTGTCCTCTTCTGGTCTTAAACTGATCTGATTTGGAGGGCTGTGTGGGATTTATTGTGACCACAAAAGTGTGGGAATCTGTCTTTGCTGTTGCCCGGTCTTGCAGGCGTCTAGCCTGACATTTCAGCTTTTTGTTGCTCCATTTCCCGGCTTTTCATAGGGCCGCCGAGGCACTTCTTCACACGGTTTCTTCTAAATCATATCACGCACCTCCTGTCAGTGAGCTACTGACATGTGGTTCCTGCAGCAATGGGGAAGAACTGCTTCATTGCTTGATTAAAGGAGGCTTACAAGTCATGGCTTGCTTTAAAACATCTCTAATTTACCTCCCTGTGATTTTGAATCCTCGCGCCAAAACACAGAAACAAAAGAATAAACGTGTTGGAACAAAAGTAAACAAAAGTGGAATGTTTTTATTCATTTTAAAGTAAATAAGCGTATTCGTCATCCCAGGGTTATTTGCTAAATTAATAATATTTTTAATCTAAAGAATTTCATTTAGGCAAAGATTGCAAAAAAATGACTGATCATGAACGGCAGCACTGTAGAAGCATTCAGGCTGACACTGAAAAGCCTTTTCGGCCTTTCCAGTGAGGGAGGTCGTGCAGCCATGTAACACACATAACAAATGGGCATTTCCAGCCAGTTTTCTGCAGAATAAAAAGAGCTTCCTGCATCTGAGTTGGAAATGACCGCTCTGAGCAGCCGCCAGCTTCAGCTTCAGTGCCCAGCTTCTCCACCACTCTAGGCCCACAGATCTGAGAGGAGCCTCAGCTACAGTTGGCATGTCTCCTGTGTATTGAAAAATAAAATGCAGTGCCCCATTTTGAATGGATATAGGATGCGATTTGTCCTACATTTTTGCACACATATTAACGTGCATATGCATACCTACAGTATGCAACTGAATCTGGACCATGTGATTGAACACCGCCCCCCCCCCCCCCCCACTCTCCAGTGGCATATTCTCCCCCCAGCCAGATCTTTACCATCAGAGACACAGCTGGAGGGGGGGGGGGTCCCTTTTTCCATTAAGGTAATGAAAGACATTACTTCCAAGCAGGGGCGTTGCTAGAGATTTTGGGCCCCATGAAAGCATATCATATTAGGCCCCCCAGTCCAAACCAATCCAGTTATTTTCCTAATTTTTTGGGGCCCTTGGAATCGTCCTAGCTTTCCTCCCCCTTACGGCGCCCCTGCTTCCAAGTGAGACTATTAACCTGATGAATAAGGAAAAAGTTGGGTACAATGGAAAAAAAAAATTACACATGTTGTTTAGAAATTGTTGTAGACAGTGAGCTGATTATTGCTACACGGTCAAAGAATAGTTTCTGGCTAGACTCATTGCTTTTTTATGTTATTTAAACTCATACCAATGATATGTAGTTGGATTTTATCTGTGGTAAATCTCAGTTCGAAAGTATGGATGGCAGAGATGATAGCTGGTATTGAACATGGTACATCGAAACATTACCAGATTTATTAAAGAACACAGAATATGAAAGAGAAAACATTAATATTAACGAAATAATTGCAATTGCTTACAATGGACTTGCCACAAGGTGCACAATTTTTTACAATTTTTTTCCATCTTTTTTTTCTAAATACAAATTTGCAGCAGTAACGTAGGTTACTGATTCATAACAGCACTAATGTAAATAAACTGGAGTTAATAGCAACGACAATCGTTAAAAACTGTTAAACTATATCTCATAATTTATGAAAATGTACAAAATGGATTGTTCAAGACTGAGAGTCATGTTTCTCTGCGTTCTTCGCTGTGGATTGAAACAGAGAGTCTTCACCATGCCCCGTAGGAACTCCGGCAGCTTTCATCGCCAGCTTTACTCTCTGGTCATTTTCAGATTGCTTACACTAATTTACATTAGTAACACCCAGACATGCCAATAACCCATCTCTGTACCAACCTAGGATTTGGCACTTCTTACTGGAGTATTATATAAATTAATTAGTACAGGCCATTCTGTAATGGTTTTCACTACAAGTTAAACTTTGAGAAAACTATTATCAGCCATTGATATCTTAATATCTTGATATTTAACCTTAGTTTATGCATTTATAGCCAATTAATTCTGCTTGTATTTTAAATGCAGGTGATCCCTGAGGGTTTGATTCCAAATAACCGTGATTATATAACCGACTGGTGTCTGTGGTCTCTGATGATGTTTGCTCTCCTAAGCGAAGCCACCCGTCGCGATCCTTCCATCTGTAAACGCGCGGATCTTTCGCCCGTCTTTCTTTCCTGCTCGTCCAGCGCTTGCAGCAAGTCCTGTAACTTCTCGATGTACAGGATGGCGCTGCGCAGGATCTCCACTTTGGGCAGCCGCTGGCTCGGGTCGGGCACCGCCTTTTTCTTCAGCACCTCGAAGGCTTCGTTGATCTTTTTAAGCCGCCTCCTCTCCCGTAGTGTGGCGGCTTTCCTCCTGTCCGTCGGCGCTGACTTTGGCTTGCAAGTCGCGCAAGCCCAGATTACACAGTGGCCAGCGCAGTGCGGCTGCAGACCCAGACGGGATGCCATCAGTTCCTCACCGCCGCTGTCGCATCCAGTTTCTAACAGTGGCTGTCCCTGACCGGCCGATAAGGAGCTGTCACTCTCCCGGAACAAGGGCGACACCCCTCTAATTTCAAAATTTTGCAGGGATCCGTTTTCCAGGCAATTTAATTCGTTGAGGAAATTGGTCTCAAAAAGGTCCATCACGGTGCTGTAGCCTCCGGTGGACCAAACATTTGACAGTTCTGCTGTACAACTCTGTCCATGGCATTTAAATAGCCCAGTGACAGAGATCACACGGCTTATATATAGCTAATGAAACCCTAACCCATCATCTAGCTGTTGCGGCGCCTCAAGACTCCTATTTCCAACGACCCCCGAGAGTACGACGACAAGCTGAATACATGCAAATAAAATACACAGGCGTTAACACCTCTCAGTGACAGGCGAAGTGACACTGTATACGTAACAGGTGCCGTTAGGATTTACCGCACTGTGCATTTTGCAACATTTGAAGCCGCGATTTCTGTCAATACACCTACAGTACCAGTCAAAAGTTTGGACACACAAAGTCACCTACGAAAGAGAGTCATAGTGTCGCATCACATGATGTGTCCACTTGGCCTAAACCCAGTGGAAATGATTTTGGAGGAGTTTGAACAGAGAGTGAAGGAAAAGTGGAAAATGAGTGCTGGGCATTTATGTGGGACCTCCTTCAGGACGGCTGGAAAGGCATCCAAAGAGGCCTCCTCATGAAGCTGGGGTAGAGGAGACAGTACGGTCAGCCAGTCCCTGGGACAATTGGGGTTAAGGGCCTGGCTGAAGGGCCCAATGGTGGGATCACTCTGCTGACCATGGGATTTGGTCTAGCAACCTTCTGAGTCCCAACTGACACAGCTACCCCCCCCCCAACAAATTATTATTTAAAAAATTTTTTGGACAGTGCATAATTCCAATTCCATATGTGTTGTCTTATAGTTTTGAGGTCTTTGTAATTATTCTGAACTGGATTCATTTAAATAAACCTTTCTGTGGCAAGTGTATCCAAACATTTGACTGGTACTGTATGAACATGTAAATTTATCTAAAATATGATAAACTACTAAAATAATTAAAGTGACCTGCTTCAGTAAACCATGCTGCAACTGTCTGAATAAATTAATATGCCAGTTTTTCATGGAAATGCAATTAAACAAATCAATATATTGTGCATTCTGACTGCTGAAAGTTTAAGATATATTCCATGCACGTGCATCTGGGGTTTCCAAAGTGAGGCTCATGACTCATGAATCTCTGCCACTGTTATTTAGAGGATCATGAGCTTAAAAGTTTGGGAACCTGTGGTTTAACTCGTATATAAATAAATGTTTTTTAACACCACTGAATGGAAAAGAGAAGCAACCATTTTTTCCACAATCATGATTCCAGACAACATTTTTCTGCTTGACAAATCATGAGGATTAGAGATTTCCTAGAAATAGGATGATCAAAAGCTAGCAAGCAAGTGGTTACTTTTGAGATTGACCGTGTGTCATGTGGGTGAGTGTCTTTAGATGCTCGGAAATAGAGGTGGACATTTCAGGTCCAGAAAGAAAAAAAATCCAAACCAGGATTATGTTTCAACCGACCATTTGAACATATAGTCACAGTCACGGAGTACTCAACTGGTTGGTTGAAACAAAATCCTGGTTTGGATTTTTACTTTCTGGGCCTAAAATGCCCAGAGTGTCTAGTATTTATGTGGCAATTGTCTATCTGAACTGACCAAGATTTGATGAGAAGACTTTGTACATTTTAATTAATATGCCATATTGAAATATATTTAAACACAAATTATTTTACTACCATTATATACACTCAACTAAAGGATTATTAGGAACACCATACTAATACGGTGTTTGACCCCCTTTCGCCTTCAGAACTGCCTTAATTCTACGTGGCATTGA